CCAATTTTATAAAACAGCTTTATTCATGGTACTTATAAGAATAAAATAATATCAGAAGTATGTGTACCATACCTATGCATGCCAAAAGTTTACTTGCATGATAATAATTCGAAAATGACATACCCATTGATAAATGCAACTAGTTATTCAAAATCAGTGTAAGGGGCCTGGGAACGACTGTGTTGTCTTGACAACAAAATTAGAGGTATTTTCCTATGCGTCTCATCATGTACTATCTGTATGCAAAATTTCATTTGATTTGAGCTGATAATAACTGAGCCATTGCTATTCAATAAACATACTTACCCAGCTAATGACGTCACACATTGTGCTGAATCAGCAATTTATATTTTGCAGATTTTTGCGTATAACTTCGGAACCAGATGAGATAGAATAGAGTGTTAAACGGCCAATCGGCTTATTTTTCATGCTCTTTCAGATGAAGCAATAAAATTTTTTGTTGCTCATACCCTTTAATCCCCATTCAAGGTATACTATGTAGTAATAGAGTATCTCTTATAATCAGTGGTTTTAACTCTAAAGATATGTTTCATTACAGATTTAATACATGTAGTGATAATTACTGTATCACAACAATAATTTTTGCTGTGTTAAATCTAAAATACATTTTATTAATAGTGTCATGAATGAAGTCAGTGATGATGAAAGTGTTGGGCTAGAGGATGACATTTTCAAAATGGTGACTGAAGATGCAAAACATGAGACAGATGTGTGAACCTGCAACAACAGTCACATTCAACCACTGAATGTCCTGTCAAAGTATATGAAATAATAATTAAACATATTAAAGATATATATGTTAATAACATTTTAGTACTTCAATAAGGATTGGAATTACAGAATAATTTAATATAATACAGCATTTAATATGATATTTTCAGTGTATTGATCATCAATAACCCATTAAGCTGCAATGCATGTGCCCAAAATGCACCCTACTAATGTACTATTGCATTACTAGTCTGTCCAATGCCAGACAATTTTACTTGGTCTTGCAATTAGCTCTTTAATTCTCTTTAATGGGTGAATGAGCTTAATTCAGTTGTATACGTGTATAGAATGATATATCTGTAAAGCTTCAAGATGTACTAGTGCCGATCCAGACAAAGCTTTATATATTTTAGTATTAAATATTGCAGCTGGGTTATAGCCCGGCCCCAAATATTGTTCTCAACAGTTGGATATTTATTTATTTATTTCACTTTGCCAAGTAACATTGAACATTTAACAGTATATTTACAACAACATATAATATGTTGTCTATTAGCAGGGTGTATGTATGCTACAGTTTTCAATGACCCATTGGGCCACAATGTGCCACAGCTTAAGGTGGCTCCCTACAGTTCTCTAAAATTCTAGGTATTTTGAGTAATGTTCGCTTTGAACCGAATTTATATTAGATACACTTAAGACAAGGCAATATGATCATTTCCAGGAAAGCTCAGAAGCTGTGTGCTGTCCATTTATGAACAAATTAAAACAGTGTTCGTGTTGCCATGGCAACCATGATGTTTAATCTTTTGCACTTTTATTGTCTAATTTCACAATAAATTGACAATATCTATATTTTCCTTCGGTGAATTTCTCTGAAATTTTTTTTGAAGATTTATGGCCCATAAAGGAAAAACATATCAAAATTTGAAGGGAATTTACAAATAAGTTTTCGAGATATTCGTGAATGACGGTTACAGAAAAAGGTATTTGTAGAATTTCTTAAAATTCGGATATGTTGTACCACTCGTCTTGTATAACAAAAATACAAAGTTTAAAAAAATTTCACCGAAGAAAACACGAGAAAATCATCGCTAAAATCGGCGTGGCCAGCATGAAAAAAATCAACTCGACATGAGCACGATCTGCGCATGCGTGTAAATTGTAGCGTGTGATTTATAGTGATTTCAACTTTTTGGCTTACAATACATACGAAAACAGATATTTCTGACTTGTTTGACATGAAAATAAAATATTAATCTTGAAAATACTAATAAAAAAACACTATTATATGCATTGTATTAAATCCAGTGTTAGTTTACATTTGTTTTTGTTGTTAAAATCGGTGTGAAAACTTTTCAAAACATCGAACTACAAGTTTAACTTTTCATATAAAACAACTCATAACTGTTTTATCTGATTTAGCAGATAAAACGATACCTGTGAATTGAATTGATTGACAGAACTTACATAAGTTTCGGCGACAGTTCACTACTGTTCAAGAGTTAATAGAAGACAGTATCATTTCAGTTTGACAGTTCGCAACACAACAAGTTGAAAATTTTGAGCAATATGAAAGACAATATTGAACGTAAATACGTAAAAACACACTAAAATATTGGCTAAACTAGTTAATAACATACGTACTGTTCGAATTCACAAAAAAATTAGGATTATAATGAAAAACTGGAGCTTTCTTTGTAGATAAAAACGCCAAAAAACTTCCCGCGGCTTGTTTCAATATTTTTGCCGAACAGTAAACACGACGATTCCACGTGCAGGTCGCGAGGATGAAGTCTGATCTATATAAATCGTATTTAAACTGTACTAACTGTAGGGAGCCACCTTAATGGGTTAACCAAAAAATCTGACAATGTCTCTAGTTAACCAATTGGGCAACAATGTGTCCCAGTGTGCCCTATTTTTTTTACTTGTCTAATGCTGGGCGATTTTACTCGTCAATTGGGAGGCTCTGCAGCTTAATGGGTTAATTCATGCTTTATATGAAGAAAATGACATACTGGCGCAGCTAATTGTGGTCCCCAAGTCAGACAAATCTGCCTGGATCTTGTAAACACCCCGAAACAGGACCATGCTAACTGATATACACGTCTTTAATTGAGTTAAAAATTTTAATTAAAAGTAAATTTAACCCCATTTAAATGGTTAACTAGACACAGGCATGCAGATGGCCTGATTAACCCATTAACGTCCAAGCCTCTTCCCTTGACAAGTAAAATCATCTGGTGTTATACAGAGTAAATACTAAAGTGGGGCATACGGGGCACATTGTGCATTACAGGGTTAAGTCATTTGTCCCTGTCCTGAACACATGCTCTTCCTCAGGATGCAAGATGGTGCCCAATTCAAATATCCCCACCCTCGGGGGTTGTTGTCAATCAAATTCCTGAGGGTGGGGAAACAAAAATCTATCTAATGCCCCACATATGCCCAACCTCTCCCTGGGGCTTAACATTGATAGGTGCATTAATCTTTAGATATCTTCGTGCAGTGGCATATCGGTGGATAGTGAGATGGATATTAGGCATGCTTGGATGGGAGAACTCTAGACCGCGTCCAGCATGCCTGTATAATGAAATCAGGAAGAGGTATCCATCTCAAAGCACCACTGGATACAAATCATCACAGCAGAGAACATGATAAAAGGTGTATACTATGTATATAAATATTATATTATATTATATTACATTATAATTCTATTACATATATTCTAACTTTTAACTAAAATAAATTATGAACTTTTTAATATCCCTTGGTTAATCATTCAGCTGACCGGCTGTGTTTGATTCACAATTGTCCTTTTGGTGTCCATTCATTGGCTCACCACACTTTTTGCAGCATAGTGTCTTACGCTTCTTTTTCTGTTTGTTGGCAGTGGTTTCTTTTTGTTTTTGTTATCAGGTGGTCTTGAGTTTCAACTAAACAAAGCATATGATACTTTATTGTTATTCATGTAATAAGAACAATAACATCAATTATTCACTAGCCCCCTTTCCTTTGGGAAAACTAGGATAGGCATATTATCAGCAGACCTTACAGACCTTATAGCATGATTTACCTGATGGAAATAACTTAGTTTTTTCCCCTTTCCTCTGTGCCTGGTTTCTAATAGCTTCCTCTTTAGTTCTGCGAGCAGAGAATTGGCTTGTCAGTGAATTGGGTTCTTTGGCCTTGTACTTGTGATATGTTTTATTTAGATCTGCCTTATTGCAATGGTAGAGAAGTTCTCGGCGCATTTCATCTACATAACCTAGAGAAAGTGTTATAAATAAAACTAATTAAAACATATTACATATACATGTGCCAGCATTTATACAAGGATTCATAACACTTTACATACGATATGTTGCTGGGACAGCAATCTCTCTGACCATTTCCTCCCCTAATTTAAACTTTGGGTAGGTTACCCGTATATATGGAGTCCCTGTCCTAGAGGTCTTTGTCTCTCTATGGACATTCTCATTAAAGTGTAGGCATGCTAGGATGTGTCTAAAGGTAAACAATAACCAATCAATTATGTTGAACATACTAATGAGATGTAAGCTTCATTACTGGCTTGCAGTACCGACCTGCAGTATGCCCCTAACCAAGAAAAGCAAATCATTTTGGGATGCCAATAATTTAGTACTGAGTGGAATCCTTCCAAGAAGCTGGTTTGGAGCACAGGTGAAAACTTCTTGATATCTTTGACCAGGGTTGTCTTTGTTAGAATATTTTCAAGTTTCTGATAGGGTTTTGATCCTTGAAAATTGGGCATAAAGTCATTGATACATTAAATTAGTATATTTTTAATAATTTTAGGCCAGGCATATTTTTCAAGCCTGCCCGGTGTGGATATACACTCAGAGTAACATCACAAGCATCTTATTCACCTGAGTACATTACACCAAAAACAGCAAATATCAATTTTATACTCATTTTTGCGAAGAAAGTGTCATATGACTAACCAACTTTTATCCACTTCTTAGTTTCAGTAAGATCACCATGATGACACTTGTCATACAATGCATTTGGATGCCCATCATGTTCATTATTGACATGCCTCATAAACGACAACCACTGTGCTTCTATAAGGGCTGAAAACCCAGTTTTTGGATGATGTAGCACACCAGTATAAATGATTCCTGATGGATTTTGCCCACTCTGCTAGTATCTCACAGCCTTTCTCCTTGGTTGCTTTCAAAACCTCCTTCACAGTCAATTTAGCTTGGTGCCATATGTCGTAGTAGTGAGTAGTATCTCTTTGCATGGTTCTCATCCACTTACCTATACCACGGTGACGATCAGACACAAATGTCTTAATTGGAAGCTTCTCCTTGCCTCTTATCTCGTCAAACTAGCGTTTGGCACCTTCCAACTCCATTTTATTGGTGCTTCCAACCTTGTTTGCCTGTAAAACAGAATTTCGCTATTCAGTGTTTCATTTAAAAAGGAAATTTCCTGAAGTAGAATAATAATATAATAAAGAGGTGGGTGTGGGTTTCACAAAACACAGTCATAATCAATACACAACAAAACATAATTAAAAAATAAGCATAATTGAACTTACGATGTGACAAAAAATAACAATTAGTTTTCAGGAATTTAAGTTATCCCCAAATCAAAGCTATCTCAAAATGCAAGGTTTTTTATACAAGTGTAGCATGCGTGTGTTGAATAGGTGTAGTTTCATATAGGGTGTGTATGCATGTCATCTTAATACGTGAAAATATAGTTTCTTCACTGATAAGGCGAGAAAGGAATTTCGTTTGACGCAGTATAACCACAACCAGTGAATAAGGAATAAATTGCACGCAAACAGGATATAGATAGAGCCCGTTTCAGCAAACGCAAACAGGTGAAAATGTATAATTATCTAATGCTTGTCTTGCATAAAATATGCTGCAGAAGAAAGCAGATCTAAACCTGGAGAGCTTTCATAAGGCCTTTCAGTTTCTTCATTGACAGTCGTTTGACCCGATTCTTTATCACCAGTAGCAGTGTTTAATTCCAATGTTTACGTTTACGCTTTTTCTTCCCTTTATTAGCTCGGGAATGCTTTTGCCTCGTATTTTGTTCATTATTCATGGTTTTTGTTTCGATGAAATCTGTGTTCATATTTTGTTTTTGTGTCAAGACTTTACCGTTGTTTTTGACAGGCGACAAATTCATGTTCACATTGAATTTCGCTGTGTGTCCGCTTGATTGACTTTGTTGTCTTCGTTCGTGTGCTACGATGCCGAGTACTCCTACATCGCCAACTTTATCTTGTAACGTATGTTTACACTTGGCAATTGTAATTCTAAGCTGTTCGGGATCATTTGTAGTTTCTTCGGGAATTTTACCACCAAAAAACTTATGCAATATTCTAATATCATGAAGAAGTTTTGGTTGGTTCGTTTTATATTCAGGATTAACTTTCATCATTCTTGGGGTAAAAGCTTGTATAAACTGGTGCTCACTCTGGCTTTGGAAATTATTAATGCCTTCCAATTCTTCTTCAAGTTGTTTAATAGCGTCGCTCTTTTTTTTATGGCGCACTTCATTCGATTCATTTTAGAAGTATATTCCGGATGTTTATCCTTAATGCCGCAGTACGTAAATGACGAGCATCTTTCCATGATACATGGTTTAGTTTGTTGATTTCTGTGTCATCGGTGATGACAATTACCACAGACGACTTTATACCTTCCAATCTCAGGTAATTCCGTTACGTTTATGTTCATTGATTCCAAAAGGACTTGCATCACCTGCAACTCTTGTCGATTTGCACGAATTTGCTCTTCGACATTTCTTTGACGATTTTGCAATGGCCGCTTTGCTGTCGTTGGATATTCCGTAATCTTACTCTAGGTAACGGCAAATGCGGTGTTAGTATAATATCAAACTGAAATGTTTTACATTATATAATTTTATTGCAGCATAAACCATATAACCATATTTATATTTGTACATACCACAGTGGAATTCTGCTTCAAGGTTTCAGTAGCAACGCCATGGGTAGTCTTATTGTCACTACATGCCTCGTCTGGTGAGGTTACGTTTTTATTGCAGATTGATTTAGAAGCCTTTCTATTCAACGGAGATTTTTTTTTATCAAGTCAAGATGGTAGTCCAATATTTTCCTTGCCCCAAGTGGCAACTCCGATCCTTTAAGTATTTCTTCAAGATTTTCGCTATCTAACAATTTTAATGCTAATGTAGACATAAAATCATTTTCTCGAAGAATCGTGGCTATCTTTTGGTAACTTTTGGATCCTATTTTATCCCTAAAACTTAGAAGGAACTCGTCTAATTCGTCACCCATATATCTGCTTATGCAACTCGGTACTTTGGTATTTCAATTCAGTACTTAGTTCAGTACTTCAGTACTTTTGTTCAGTACTTCCGTACTTTAGTTGGGTACTTCAGTACTTAATTCACCAACATGCAAATTTGGCTTTGCAAGTTCTCACGCAATATTCCAAATGTGGTAAGGTAATTAGGAATATTAAAAACAAACGTGGGAATTGTGCTTTGAAAAGTGACTGAAATCGACTGTAAATTCAGCAGAACATGGCCCACTTGCTCGTATTGGTGGCTACATCGATCATAAGTAAACTGACTCAGATAAATAAGAAGGGCACTTATAAATGAACAAATCCAAGCTTTATTGCATTTATGGCGGATGTTCATAAAAACACGTGCGTGCTCTGCATCTTCTTCAAAACCCCAAAAAATAAACAGTGCTATTTATCATAAAATCTAACTTATTATGTCTACAAGCCAACGATTTACTGTGGGAAGGTGATTTACAATCATTGAAACAATTTATAGAAATAAATTTACAGCTGAAAGGACGATGTTCGACACTTCGTGGCAAATCAATACATTTCAGCAATCCTAAATTCTGCTTAAAATGGCTTGGATCAACTGACAAAAAAATAATTGTCTTACAAGATAATGATGAAAATCAACTGTTGGAAACATTAAAGAGCTATGCGAGCCATATAGCCAGCGCAAATCATGAAAATGAGCAAACACCAAACAAGCACATGGTCCAAGATGGCATCGGCGAGACTGAATGAAAACCGTCAGAATGTCAGAACTGTAAGTCCTACTCTGATGAAATCTCAAAGATAATGGACATGATATCTGAGCTTAAAAATAAATACAAAGAAGAATGCCAAAACACCAAAATGCGAATGGTAGAATCAGATATGAAAATTCAATCATTAGCTGATGACAAAAACAAAATGGCGATGGAGATTGAATCACTCGTAGCAACAATGACAGAACTGACACACAAAAACAACACTATAAAAAATTCTAGATATGAAGCAAACAGAGTGGGTCAACCAAGAAAGAAAATCAAAGTCTACGAAAGAAAACCGACCAACTAGTGATACAAATATTCAAGTGGATAATCAATTTGAAATCCTCGAAAATGAAAATGATTCGTCAGCGTCAGAGTCAACAAACCTCCAGTCAACAAGCCTCCACGACCAAATCCTTGAATATCGCTCAAAGGAACAGTCTAAGTTTAACTGTGTCCAAAAAAAGAGAGCAAAGGGTCCAGAACAATCAAAAGTCAACAAATCCAATATCACAGCAAAGCCAGCATCCAAAAAACATGAACCCAATAAAGCAAAGCCTGACAAAGGAATGAAAATATCTCTGGTAATTGGTGACTTGATGGTCAAACATATCAATCAACAAAAGATACAGAGAACTGCAGGTGGCCAATCAGTTGTCAACTCATACAGTGGGGCAAAAGTAGATGAGATCAAGAACAAGATAAAAAATAGCTTGGAGAAAGATCAATTTGAGACAATTATCCATCATGTGGGCACAAATGATCTTGTCCATGAAGATGCTGAAATGGTTGCGACAAAGATGGATGTCCTCATTACAGAAGCAAAAACAAGGCAAGAAATGTAGCAGTGTCAAGTGTGATAAGAAGGTATGATGGCCATGTTGCACCAAGTAGCATAACCCTTTTTAACAATTTACGGACTGATTTATGCTCCCAACATAATATAACATACCTAAATAACGATCATATAGATAAATCCCTACTGAATCGTTCAAACCTACACCTAAACCAAAATGGTGATAGGGCATTAGGACGTGTATTCTGTAGTTATCTAAAGTCAAATCAAGTGGGAACTGACAATGGGTCAGTTAATACTTCAGATGTTTTTTTTCACAAACTTCACTACAGTCGTCGCAAGAGAGACTGGATAACATATCTACAATATGTAAGTCAGAGACTCAAATATTAGACAGTCATCTGATAAATAAGAAATTTAGAGTCTACCAATCCTTCAAACAAAAATGTGAGTAGCAGTTTTTCATCAACTTTTAACTGCATTCCCAATGAAAGAGGTTTTAAGATGGCCTTATTAAAATTGTCACTTTACCCAGTAAAATAGATGAGATTCGTCATTCAATGGGTAGTAAAAACATTGATTTAATTGCATTTAATGAGACACGACTAGACCAGAGTATTTCTGACGGTCTCATTCATTTAAATGGTTATGAAGTTGTTAGAAAAGATAGATCCCGAAATGGAGGTGGAGTTTGTATATACTTGCGTAATTCCATCAATTATAAAATCAGATCAGATCTCATCCCCCCTGAATTGGAGGCTGTTTGCTTGGAAATAACTAAACCACAAAGTAAACCATTTCTTGTCTCTACAATTTACCGACCACCAAATGCATCAACAGAATTTTTTGACCATTTGGAAAAATTTATTAAACAAATTGATGATGAAAATAAAGAACTGTACATCTTAGGTGACCTAAACTGCAACTTGTTAGAAGGAAAAGCCTCTTTAAATGTGCCAACAAGCAAACTAAATTCATTATATGAATTATATCAATTATCCCAATTGATTAAATTTTTTGGAGACTTTTCGAAGCTCGTAACTGCCGACTTAACTATTGTTGGTATTACATTCTTACCAAATGTGCTAGACTTTTTACACAATTCAGTAATGTCTTTGCTAGGAACACTTGTAACTAGAGTGTGCCATAGTCCACATTTAGTTGCTGTTTTTGCTTCTTCATTAGTATCCTTTGCAGTTGCATGGATATTTTGCACTGCAGCGTATGTCAGTTTCCTTCGCTTGCGTGCAAGATTATGGGAGATGCCAATTACTTTATCGCTGTTGTTCTCATCTAGTTTGGTTGGGATTGCATCTGCACTCCTTCATTTTGGCATGTGTACTTTCTCATTCTCAAGCAAACCTCGCTGCAAATTGAAATAAATTATACATGTGTTCTGGTAAGCAGGAGACAAAATCGCTTCATATTTAACCCATTAAGACGCAATGTGCCCCAGTGCCTCTTACCTATTTATTTTACCCAGTTTAACACCAGGTAATTTTGCTCGTTAACTAATATTTGACCCTCTGCATCCTATTCACTAACCACACTGTGCATGGCTGTATGCAGTCCCGAGTTCTCATCCTAGAGTCAGAGTTACTTAAAATAATATGCTGAAATTCTATATTTCAAGTATACATGAGCAAAGCACACAAAAATACCAATGCATTAATTAATCAACATGAACTCCTAATTTTAAAGCCATATTTTATAAATTACCTTTCTTTTCAACTCACTAACTTTGCTTTCCAGTATAGCCTTGTCGTCTTTCAGCTTTTCATAGGTATGACCGACATTATCAATTTCACTTTGAATATTTTGAATAGACTGGTTTGATTGCACAAGAATCTCTCGTTTGCTCTTCACTTGACGAGACCATTCCCCAAATGGAAACCTTTCCAGCATTCTCTTGCGATTAGCCATACTTGTCTCCGTCCAAATTTTTTACGATTAATCCTTTTAAGACAAAACTTGCAGAGAATAAACATTGGAATACAGCCAGCAATCGTATCGTTTTAGTTTCCACTAAAATACCTAGATAAAGATAAACAAAGGTCTTAAAAACCGGTATTTATATAGCTTAAAACTCAGCTTGTTTACGAGCTCATATTTCTCAGTTATTACAACGTGAAACACAAACAAAAATATGGTTATATTTGGTGTCAAATTGAAGCCTACCTTTCTCTCTTTCAAATGCCGCCATTTATATCTCATGATGACCTCAAATACTCGCTCTAGGGCCCTCCAAATGTCGGCACTGCTCAATCGCCAAATTTATCTGTGTGAAGTCTCGCGAACACCTGCATTGCAGGCTAAACGCGCGCGGGTTGTGAAAAAGACCGATTAATTTCCCAGTGTGAAATCTTGAAATTGGTTATTGTTATTATTAACCTTGTTGAAGTTGGTTATTATTATTATTATTACAATATTGCCTGCTCCCAAAAGGGCTTTTCAGCAGGTAATTACAAATCAAAGCAGAAGTAGCGGTAGTATGGTAACACATTAAGAAAAATGTTCTTATTACTTTGTATAGTCGCTCTACTTTTTACGATTGAATATTAGAACATTTTACCTCACTTTACATAGCAATCTATAAAGGTTTCTCGCTCAAAAGGCTATATCTTGTAAATATATTCAATTATCGAAATTTGTTGAAATCATTTTATTTTGATGAATAGTATAGCCTTGCCTTCCGCGGTTTATTATTTTGTTACACCCGATAAAAGCTCTGCTTGTTTGTTTTGAAATTCGCAAGACGCTCGTTAATCCCCGAGCCGACGGCGTGAAGCGCTGTGGGAGGGTACTAATTCCCCCCGGCTAATTACACCAGGGGAAATGAAAGCATTAGCGAAGTCTAAAGTTCATCAATTATCGCGGACGTGGGTCACCAATGGTGTTCAAGTGTTGGGTGTATGGTCATCCTCACTGATCTAAAAAATATGGCGGACTGTCATGAATAGTGGACACTGATTGGTCCAATTTAAAGTTTGCATTATAACGACTGCATGGACGACAGCGAAATAGCAAACATTTCTTGATTTGATGATTGATGAATTTCTTGCAAATATATTATTTCATTTTGGCTCGCATTTTGGCAAGATTTTGTAAATTTCAAAAGGTTTCTCAGAAAGAAAGGGCGAAAGAATCAGCTAAAAGAATGGAGCCGACGTTAACGAAGGTAAGTTTGTTTTAAATATTGATTTTATAATGACTTTAAAACCCGACGGCCTTTGCGTATATGAAATAACTATTACAAGACAGCATATAATTTCAGTGTATCTTTAATAATATTGATTCCCTTTTTTATTATATTGAATTTTTAAATAAAAAAGAAAGCAAAGTCATTTGCAAGCGAGAATTTGAAATCATTTTATTGCAAACTCAAAGTTTATAGATAAAGCCATTAAATTAAAGGCAGTTTAGTTTTATAAAGAACACTTTAAAACGTTTTGCGAAGCGTTTGTGGTTGAATTTTACCTTAAATTGAAGCTTATATTACGTATAATAACATACCTAACATATATATGTTGGGAAATTGATAATTTTGTAATTAAAAGTGATATTTTTATGCAATTTTTCATTTGTAAGAATATTCTTAAAAATTATCGTGTTGCCATGACAACTACTTTAGATACTTCATGTTCGGAAAATACAATGGTTGTGTCAGCAAGGCGAGGGTTTCTGCATGCATATGTATTCTCTAGTATGCATATATCATAATATTATTTCGCGTGCGAAAAGTGATATTCCATTCACTTGGTAAACGTGAAATATTGATTGCCTTGCTACATGGTTGGTACCAAAATACTTGTCAAAAGTTTCTCTTTTTGTTCCCATAGTCATTGCTTAGCTACACCCTGAACCTGGTAAACTAAAGACCACAACTTGAGTGCATACTTTATGCTTTCCTTTATAAACAACTTTGCTTTGATAGGTCGTAAAAGGATAATTAGGAATCCTTGTGTATAAATGGAGTAGCCGCTGACAGACTGGTATGCTTGCACAATGCCATCATTTCTGGCCATGGATGTGGAAGGCTCATGTATACAGCTAGCCCAGAATTTTTTCAGTATTTTTCGGGTTTTTTTTAAATTTTGACTCAATTACAACAGGCTCTGCATGAGGCCGACATTTCAAATCAAAATGTTACAGTTGTATTGTGACACATCTAAAAAATAAAAAAAGTAGTGTCTCGTATATTTTAGTAATATTACTCACTCCCTGGCACATGTCAAGCATATCAAAAGATTATGTAAACAACACTGCACAACATGCTTTGAACATGCTGCTAATATTTAATGTGATTGGCACCATAATTGCTTGGTTCTCACAACAATAGAACATTGCATCATATACGATATGATTGCATCTGATGCTTAGTCGTCATAGTTTTCAGAAGTGGGATTTCAACGAAAAAGATCAATTGCAAATATTGCAACACTAGAGAAAATCTCTTGACTCATCAGAAAGCTCTATTTAGTAGCAAAAGATGAGGAGATAGCTGGTGCGTTATCTGACAATTGCTTGACTTGCCAGCAAGCCTTACGTAATTGAGGAGGAAAGTAAGAAGATATCCAATATAACCCAGACCTTGTTCACAGGTCTAGCATGCTGTATAAATTTATTGGAAATTTTTCAGTGCCCGCAGATCCACAGACATAGTTATATAAGACTTGTATGAGTGATACTTGGTTTTCTTGCCGAAATTGAAGTAAAAGGATAAGAAGCATGAGGTTTAATGCTATTAACATAATACAAATCGAGATACTAGCTTGTGATGACAAAGCTTTTGTCTCAATAAATTTAATTGAATTCAAGATTAAAATTTATTATGTCTTTGGCACAGTTTCTAGATCATTGTATTTCATTCACATTTATAAAGTAGCCAAGTTGGCAAATTTACTGTTTTGGCAATTAACTCATTCCCATCCGATCGAAAAGTAGCAATTTCAAATGATGTTGTTTCAAACACATATATCTTTCAAACTATACATCGCACGGAAACAGAAATTGCATCGTTCGAAAGAGGAGTTCCGCTTTCCAACGATACCAATTTCATCCGTTGCTTGGTTAACAATTTACTCGCATAAATTTGCATAAATTATGATATAAAAAATATAATATAAATGTATTTACCGGTTCAAATATGTCAAAAAATGTTATGAATGTAACTGAAAGACATGGTTATGATCTACAAGTACCCGAAGTTTCATGCATGTAGCATAAATAGAAGTATTTTTATTGAATTTTTATATAAACTATGTAGTGGAGTAAAATTTACATTTTGTGCTCACATGAAACAAATACCTTTATCAAAGGTCGTTTTTCATTGCCGCAACATATTATCAATACAAATTTCCAATATTTCTTACTCTCCAAGGATAGTATGGCACCAAAATAAGTCCTTGATACCCACAAAAGAACACTCAAATCATGATTAGCAAAATCTCTTTATTTCTACAGTTACTACATACATTCTTAGATAATCATTACACCATTGAATTTAGTTATTAGTGGCATAACCAGCCCGAACATTTGGTCATGCTATTCAAATTTGAAATAATCACTACTCATTTGTTTAGAAATTGATTGTTTTCACAATCTAGAACATGAAAATATTTGCATATAGCATGACCAAGTGTTGTTGGGCTGGCATCATCATTAGTAGTTATAAAAAAGTAATGTTTTCCAAGGCAGTAATGCTTGCCAAAGCAGTAATGTTTGCCAAAGCACATAATTGGATTATGTGGTGAAAATATTTCCTTTATATTGGACCACGAAAGACCTAAGACTGTAACCAAACTTATATCAGATCACCACGTTATATCCAAATCCGTTGTGATGAATATCTGGACTTCTTCCTGTACAAATTTCAAAGTCGCAATATAACCATTAGGACTGTCTGCAGCAACCCACAGATTTATCCCCCACATAGTAGGCCATTTTTCATGAACTGCCTAATCCCCAACCTATTTCTTGATTTGACAGTGTGTTTGTCAACAACAATATCCTGTGACGGCTGGTACAGTTGTCGATTCAGTTTATTGCGGCAGTCTTTAGTGACAGGATCTACCATATTCACAAATGCCATAAGCGCTTTGTACCTAACCAGAGAAATTATTTCTATTGCCCACAGACCATTATATAAGGTTTTTACACTCCAATAATTTTTTCAATCTCACTGACAACCTTTACCAAACCTGCATATACTAAAAGGCAATCAACCTCTCAAGGTTGGTGGACTGCAAGACCCTTCTTTATTAGTATATGGGGATGACTTTTGAGTTATTTGTATGTGGGCATATGTATTGGTATGGCCAGGAAACTACCTCCTGAAGCATTCTCTTAGTAACAAAGAGCCGAATGAACTCAAGCTCACAGTTCATACTTCAGGTGAAAGCTTGATTGAAATGGATCCCGGACATGTCAGTGAGGGGCAAAATCTGGGAGAATATTCCTAGCATCAGGATCATCATATCCGTCATGTATTATGGGGCCTAGTGGGGGTGCTAGACAGAGAGCTTTCGAAACCTTGGGTCCTAATGGCTGGGCTTCCCTCTACCTCTACTCATCCCCCTACCTTCCCTCTGTGTTGGGGAGTGGGGTTCTCATGACTCATCAGAACTGCTACTTCCCTGAGGCTATGAAACAGGAACAGCAGGATCAATATATTCGTCACTGCAAAAAAAAACTTTTTTATATTTTAAATAAAAACTTTTTTTACATGGCGCCACTTAAAATTATAATAAGAGCCAAACTAGTAAGATATAAGTATGAATACTTGGCTATTATGTATGTAACAAACAACCAAACATGTGCTCAAGGCTCATTTTATGTTCGCCTAAGAATCAGAGATTTTTATGCCTAAAACACAATAAATTTTCGTCAACAATATAAATAAATACCATTTATATTTTTCAATTTCAGTATGAAAGGATTATTTCAACACAAAAAAGCGATATGAGGACATACTTGGTCGTACTAGTGAAGCTATACTAAATACAAATAAATTTACAACGCCATGGCAACGGCAAAACATTGAAATAGAAGTTGTCTAGAAATGATAAAAATACTTGCCTTGAAACTCCAGACACGACTCCCAATGCCAGGTCGAGATACTTGTCTTCATATGAAAACATTCCATCATTACTACAATCAGTGACATAATTATTGGACCGATTAGCTTGAAAAGGGAAAATTCCCCCCCCCCCCCCTTCCCCCTTAAGGTTAGTTTACTTTCATGTGCGCATGTATGGATCTGCTTCAAAGCTATACCACGAGCAGTTCTTCATCTGATTCGCAAAACAGCGAGTTAGGTAGGAGGGATATTCGGAAGGTGTATTTAATCACATATAGCCAAGCCAACACAAAAAATTCCAACGCGGAAGTCCTTCGCTGAAGCAGTAATAAAGGCATTCAATAGCGGTTCTGCGAAAGTTGCAATTGTCCACTGGTGTTTCTCACAAGAATCGCACAAGAAGTCGGGAGTGCACTATCATATGTGTTTAAAGCTAGACAGAAATCAGCGGTGGCTACGGGCTAAGACGTTTCTCCATAAAAATTATGGCATTTCTGCCCATTTCTCGAGCGTTCATGCAAATTATTACACAGCTTGGAAGTATGTGACCAAAGAGGATAGGCACTCAGTTGAAAGTGAAGGACATCCTGATTTAAACGACAGCGAAGGACCGTCGACCTCGAAAGCGCATATGGCAAATCGTAATCGAAGAATCAAACGAGTTTGCAAAAGGCAGTTTGTAGAAGAGGACACTGACACCTTTCTAGAACAAAGTGACGGCGATAATCCAGAAGAAAGCAAATCGAAACAAAGCGGAAAAAAGCGAAAGCGCTTGAGTGCATACGAAGTTTCTGAAATAATTTTGAGCAAAGGCCTTCGAAATCGAACGGAACTATTAGCTTTTTCTAACCAGCAAAGATAGGAGGGGAAGACAGATTTGGCCGAGTTTATTGTAAACAGAGGTAAAAAGGTGGTTAATGAGGTCAATTGCTACTGCTTGGGAGATGGAATCGGCACAGAGGACACAAGGTAACACCCGCATTGAACTGCTTCGCGATGCTTATCAACATGAATGTACATGCAATGCTGACGGTGAGTGGTGTGATAAACTGTGAGACATGAACAGAGTTTCAATAACATTTGTTGGGTTTACTTTGAGCCTGATTGCAGGCTGTTGAACCTGTTCGCAGGCTAAACACGTGCGATTCGCTTTTACATACGGGAATTTTAGTATAAAAACAACAAGTTTCATATTTTTTCGATTGAACGTGTATTATCTATATTATATTCGATTATTCGAGGATATTTCGTTACGAACTCAACGTTAGTTATGTTTAAGTCTTTTACCTTATTATTTGATAGTAAAGTTTATATAATTTTAATGTTATCCGTGTGTTAATTGAACGAACGTTAAGTATTGAGCGAGGAAATGCGATAAATATTATGCGACGTGCATAACAAATGGCATTACTGTGTGTTACAACTGTTAGCAAATAACAACATTTCTGTTGACAATTTTGCTAACTGCGTCAAAGAGCTGTTAACGAAAGGCTGTGGGAAGTTCCGGAATGTTATGTTGACGGGCCCGGCGAACTGTGGTAAAACATTCTGGCTGAATCCGCTAAACAAGGTATTTAATACTTTCACTAATCCAGCATCCACTAGCTTCGCATGGGTAGGAACTGAGAAAGCAGAGGTCGTTTTCTTAAACGATTTTCGTTGGTCGCCGCAGATAATCGTTTGGCATGATCTACTCTTAATCAGGGTTCGAATTAATTCTGAAAAAATGGTTCGTGAATTGATTTTTTTATTTTAAGGAAATTTTAAGGAATTTTCAAGGAATTTTCTCTAATTGGACGTTAAAAAGTGGAAGCACTGCAATTTTCAAATACATCGCAAACTCGCAAAAAAATAGAATTTTGGGTGGAATTATAATCGTTTTTAAGTACAATCTAACAACAATATCTTCAGAATATATGATTCTTCATCACATTTACAAAGAAATGAATTTATTATTGTATTTTTTTATCAATTTGAGACACTTTTGATTCGTGATTTTGACCAATTTCTATGAAATTGGGTTCGTGAAAAATGAAAATTGATTCGTGATTCACGAATCACGAACCGTTATTTCGAACCCTGTTAATGCTCGAGGGTCAGTTGGTCCATTTACCTGCGCCGAAGTGTCACTTTGCCCACGACATTGTGTTCGACAAGGACACGCCAATTTTCAGCACAAGTAAACACCAACTTGTTTACGTGAAAAGTGGCGTTGTGGACGAAAGAGAGACTGAGATGATGGCCGTAAGATGGAAAATGTTTAACTTCAACAGGCAGATTCCACAGGAAGAACAACGAGAAGTCGTGCCGTGTGCAGCATGCTTTGCTCGCCTTATCCTTGAGGACTATGACTGGCTTGCTTAATTATTTGCTAGCATGAATTACATTTCAAGTATTTGGACAAATACACTGCACTGTGTAATTTTACAAAGTGTGAATTTCTATTTCTTGAAAATTAATTGTCATGTGGCGAAGTCTATAAATAGCACAAGTAACCACACGTCTCCACAAGTAACCATATTTAAGCATTCAAATAAGATGTATAATGTGTAGTTATTTTCGATAAATATAGCTGTCTAATGTTATACAAATTGTGAATTCGCTATGTGTTGACGCATAATTAACCATCATCCAAGTAGAAATGGCGCAAGTTACCACAAGTAACCACAAGTAACCATCAGTAAGCATATATAAATAAGATATATCATATATAGTTATTTAAGTAAATGGTTACTTGTGGTTACTTGTGCAAACAGTCTGTTATTTTTAGATAAAGACATGGTTACTTGGCATTAATATAAATGTGTATTATATATACATGTAAAATCTGTGCATAAGCATGATATATACGCAATAAACACAATTTTGTTTGCGTTAGCCTCGGCTAAGCATTATGTAATACGACACCTATATGTATTACTGTAGACAGGCAAATCTGCGAGATTTAAAACAATATATATATATATATATATACATGTATTCATCAAATATTATACAACAGTAAACTAGAATAAGTATGATAAGTTTAGTTAGTATTTTGTACGCTTTCCCTTATGTTTAACAATATCTTTAATTCTCCTTGGCATACTTGCAATTGTCTTATCTACATATTCTTGTGAGACTGACCAAATATTAAATTTCACCCTTTCGACAAATTCATCCCATGACTGGTATATAATGTTCTTCTGTAAGATTTCTGCTTCAATTTTTTTTCGCACAATATGAAACAAATTTTCAATTGGATTCAAATCAGGTGATCTTGCTGGAATAACTTGCATGCTTGCTTTGATAGATTTTAAGGCTTTCCTTGCAACAGCCGACGTTTGTGAAGGATCATTATCCATCACAAATAATTTCGGTTTGGTATTATCATTGTTTGACGTGATGTCAAAGAGAATAGGAAAATGACGGCGTATAAAACGTGCAAAATATGGGCCATCCATCTTTACATATGGTTCTGTACAAATAACGCCATGCCCGTGCGCCATGGCAACTAGCAAATGCAACCTTTTACTGCCAGCAAGTTCTTTGCTACCTTTTGTAGTTAATAGCAAACCTTCACCTCTTTTCCGCCAAACACGATTTTTTGGTTTAAGTACGTCACTCATTGGATTACTTTTGTAAATAAAGGAAACACCGTCCAAATAGAAAGAAACATCTGAGGTCCAGTAATCTTGGGGTTTGGTAGCCATGCTTCGTGCAAACTTACGGCGTATTTTTAAATCTTTCTTTGTGAGAACCCCTTTCTTGCGACTTTGAAAAAAACCATATCCCAGCCGTTTCACATATCGAAGAAATGTTCTGTATGTCGCAATTGTAGGTGAGATACAGCTACGCTGCACTACTTCCATAACTGTGAAATTAGAACTTTTTTCTCGGAGTTGGATAATCGCTCTTTTGAGTTTGCGCTCATCTCGTTCCGTCAATGATTTACGCCGACCTTGATACGATTTCTTCAACTTTTTGGTATTTGTATTTTTAGTATCAAACCGCTTAATAACTCTTTGAACACTTGTGTTTGACATGTTTGTTTTTAACGCAATATTCCGATACGAATATTTGAATTCGCGCCTTAGCAAGACAGGTAAAGCTCCGCTGCTCTGCAGTTATGTCATGAATTCGTGCCATGTTTGTGTATTAAAATAAAACTATTGTTATGCAATATAATTAATTTTGGAATGATATCAAGCTCAATTACCACTGAGTTATTGCTGAAAGTTTCATAAAGATATCTTGTTTAGTTTTAAAGTTTTAGACGTTTCAAAAAGTATGATAACGCAGTAAAATACTCAGACAATCAGTGACATAATTATTGGACCGATTAGCTTGAAAAGGGAAAATTCCCCCCCTTTTCAATGTTGGTCGGTCTTAAATTCATTTTCTAGTTACATGGTAGTGTCTTGTATAATGCTGTCGATACTTATTCTGCCCGATAGAGCAACATTGAAACGGGGGGAGGGGGGTTATAAGTGAATTTTGCAGAATTGTGTACAAAAATACCTTTTCTATACAAGTGTCCCAAATTTCAATGTCACTGATTGTAGCTTTATCAGTTTGCAAAATAAAGCCAAGAACGTTTTCAGGATGCAATTCAAACAATACAACACAATAAATACATTACAACGCTCGTGGGTTTTTCGTGCGCGATAATCAGGAAAATTGCTCTAAAAGGTTTGTTTTTCTGCCTAAGCCAATCAAAATCCATATCTAGAAGTGATTTCTGCAGTCTTTTACCAGGAAACTGTAATGCTTTACCAAGAATTTGGCGTCCGAAGTTGGCCGAACACTTTCTGACCACAAGAATCGCCATAGATTATTTCACAATTTCCCAAGATTGCTCCGAGCTATAAAATGAAAGATGGCGATTCTTTTGGTCTATTTGTCTTTATTAGACGTTGAAAAGAACAATACAATAATACAATACAATACAATTATTTGTACTCGAACATTACACTATAACAACACACTATACTGAAATAATTACAATTGATGAATACAGGCCAAGTGAAATAACCATAGGGGCTAGACGAGTCAGGTGACCTTTATTAGACAAAATATAAGTAAATGGATTTGGTCAAGATTATGCAATATTTTTATAGGAAAACGAACAAAAAACAAAACACCAACAAATAGCAAACACATAGAAAAAAAAATATATAGAAAAAAGAGCCAAAATATCTTCATCATTTAAAATGTTTGGATCAATAAGAAGCAATTATATGTTCTTTAAGTTTTCTTTTAAAGGTTTTTAGATGCAGAGACTTCAAAGATTCATTGACCAAGCTCCAAACTTTAGGTCCACAAAATCTAATATTAAATATTCCGTAATTTGTACGAACTGGTGGGATAGCATATGCATTTGTAAACGCTAAACGGGTTGTATAGTCATGGTTATTTTTAATCAAGGTAAAAAAGCCACAAAAATCAGCCGGGAGATTGCCCAAACCATACTGAAACATGAATGATGCTGTATTGACATAAACTAGATCAAGAAATTTTAGCAAGTTTAATGCCTTAAATATTGGTAAAGTGTGCTCACAGAAACCGGAAAATGTCATTATCCTCATAGCCTTCTTTTGCAGGATCAATAATGGGTGCAAATTACTTTTGTATGTATGTCCCCATACCAGGACAGCATACATAAGAAATGGGTAGATTACTGAGTAATAAACTTGAATGAGTGTATCAATTGAAACAAAATCACAAAGATTAAATAATATGCCAATACCTTTGGATATTTTTTTGCATAACTCAAAGACATGATCCTTCCAGTTCAAATTACAATCTATAATTACACCAAGATATTTGACACTTTTCTCCTTCATTTTGTTGTTATGAATTTTCAAATTCATTGAGTAATTAACTTTCTTTTGTGGTGAATGGAAAAGGACAAAGTTTGACTTTTCAATATTTATTGAGAGTTTATTAGGACATAACCACTTGCCAACCAAAATTAACTGCTCATTTAGTATTCTTTCTTAATTTTGAAGATTATTATTAGAGTACAATAAGAATCATCTGCAAATAAATGAAACTTAAGTTTTGGAGCAGAGTTGTTAAAATCATTAATATATAATAAAGGGCCTAAAACTGAACCTTGTGGAACTCCACAAGTTATAGGCTTTTGCTCAGATATTACATTGCCAATCGAGACATACTGCTTTCTGTTTGAAAGATAAGATGAAAACCATTTTTGTACTATTCCTCGTATTCCACTGTTTTCAAGTTTTTTGAGTAATATTGTATGATTTACAGTATCGAAAGCTTTACTCAAATCAAAAAAGATACCACATGAATACATTTTGTTTTCTACTGCTTTTTGAATTTTATCTGCAATAAGTAAGATGGCATGTGTTGTAGAGTGGTTTGAACGGAAACCAAATTGGCATTGAAAAATTACTTGGTTCTTTTCCAGAAAAATTACAAGTCTCTTATACATTAATTTTTCTAAAATTTTGTTAAAAACTGAGAGTAAGAAATTAGGTCAATAATTTGATACAACCAACTTAGAACCTTTCTTATAGATTGGTATGGTTATGGTTCACTAGTCCGAAGGTTCACTAGTCCGAAGGTTCACTAGTCTGAAGGTTCACTAGTCCGAAGGTTCATTATAGCTAGTCCAAAACATACGCTGGTTTTGAATTACAATTACGTGTTAAACTTGCCTGCTTCCCAGTTAAGCATTTTTCGTACCTGCATACACGCACGGAAAAATTTAAATACACTTGAAAGTCTTTTGCTCACTTAACTCAATTCAATCTGCCAATATTAATTTCCGACGTATATGACGGGAAGATTAAATATGAAAGAACTTCGCGAGTATTTGCAGTAGTCATACGAAAATACCACCAAAAAATTCCGCTTGATCGATACTATATATTCAGAAATATTCATATAATTTTATTGTTTCTCGCTCAACTTCAAGCAAATTTCTTACCTTGAAATGATCAATGGGGTGAAATTTATGCAAATGACGCATTATCAATTTTGCTGTTGCATTTTGAATGTTCCACCAGATTCAAATGCTCTTATTTTTGCTTCTTTTCAACGTATAATAATAACAAATATACCAAAAGAATCGCCATCTTCCATTCAATAGCTCGGAGCAGTCTCAGGAAATTGCAAAATAATCTAAGGCTATTATGGCGATTCTCGTGATCGGAAAGGGTTCGGCCAACTTCGGACGCCAAATTCTTGGTAAAGCATTACAGTTTCCTAGTAAAAGACTGCAGGAAACACTTCCGGAGTGTTTGTTTACCCTAGATACGGATAAAACAAATCTTTTAGAGCAATTTTCCTGATTATCGCGCACAAGAATGCATGAGCGTTGAAATGTATTGTGTTGTAGTTTTGTTTGAATCGCATTCTGAAGACGTTTTTGGCTTTATTTTGCAAACTGATAGTGCTAGTAATGATGGAATGTCGTTGTATGAAGACAAGTATCTCAACCTGGCATTGGGAGTCGTGTCTGGAGTTTCAAGGCAAGTATTTGTATCATTTCTAGACAATTTCTATTTCAATGTTTTGCCGTTGCCATGGCGTTGTAAATTTATTTTTATTTAGTATAGCTTCACTAGTACGACCAAGTATGTCCTCATATCGCTTTTTTGTGTTGAAATAATCATTTCATACTGAAATTGACAAATATAAATGGTATTTATTTATATTGTTGACGAAAATTTATGGTGTTATAGGCATAAAAATCTCTGATTCCTAGGCGAAGTAAAATCAGCCTTGAGCACATGTTTGGTTGTTTGTTACATACATAATAGCCAAGTATTCATACTTATATCTTACTAGTTTGGTTCTTATTATAATTTGAAGTGCCACCATGTCTATAAAAAAGTTTTTATTTGCACTGATGAATATATTGATCCTGCTCCTATCTGCTGTTCCTGTTTCATAGCTGATGAGTCATGAGAACCCCACTCCCCAACCCAGAGGGAAGGTAGGGGGATGAGTAGAGGTAGAGGGAACCCCAGCCATTAGGACCTAAGGTTTTGAATGCTTCCTGTCTAGCATCCCCATTCCCCACTAGGCCCCATAGTACATGACGGATATGATCCTGACGCTAGGAATATTCTCCCAGATTTTGCTCCTCCCTGACATGTCCAGGATCCATTTCGATCAACTGTGAGCTTCAGTTCATTCGGCTCAATGAACTGTGAGCTTGAGATCATTCGGCTCTTTTTTACTAAGGGAATGCTTTGAACAGGAGGTAGTTTCCTGGCCATACCAATACATATGCCCACATACAAATAACTCAAAAGTTATCCCCATATATACTAATAAAAAAGGGTCTTGCAGTCCACCAACCTTGAGAGGTTGATTGCCTTTTTGTATATGCAGGATTGCTAAAGGTCGACAGTGAGATTGAAAATTATTGGAGTGTAAAAACCTTATATCATGGTCTGTGGGCAATAGAAATAATTTCTCGTGTTAGGTACAAAGTGCTTATGGCATTTGTGAATATGGTAGATCCTGTACTAAAGACTACAGCAATAAACTGCATCAACAACTGTACCAGCTGTCACAGAATATTGTTGTTGCAGACAAACACACGTCTGTCAAATCAAGAAATAGGTTGGGGAGTAGGCAGTTCATGAAAGCTAGATGACCTACTATGTGGGGGATAAATCTGTGGGTTGCTGCAGACAATCCTAGTGGTTATATTGCGACTTTGAAATTTATACAGGAAGAAGTCCAGATATTCATTGCAACGGATTTGGGTATGTCATGGTGATCTGATATCAGTTTGGCTACAGTCTTAGGTCTTTTGTAGTACAATATAAAGGAAATATTTTCACCACATAATCCAATTATGCACTTTGGCAAACATTACTGCTTTAGCAAACATTACTGCCTTGGAAAACATTACTTTTTTATAACTACTAATAATGATGATGCCAGCCTAACAACACTTGGTCATGCTATTTGCAAATATTTTCATGTTCTAGATTGTGAAAACAATCAAGATAGTGATTATTTCAAATTTGCATAGCATGACCAAATTTTGAGGCTGGTTATGCCACTAATAACTAAAGTCAATGGTGTAATGATTATCTAAGAATGTATGTAGTAACTGTAGAAATAAAGTCTGATATCTCTAAAGTGATTCTCATTAAAATCGTATCGTTCACATGGGCGTGATTGCTAATGTGTTTCCATGACAACCATATAAACATAACAATTATATTCAACTCTGAGATACAAACAGACTTTCATCTTTTTGGTACCATTCCAAAAACTACAAAAGTGGCTGCGTAACTCAAAACGCAAGAGATGAAAAAACTGTATATAACTGCCTATTTATATTCATGCATGTTTGCCCACGTATATATATTACTTGGAATTGTTCAATTTTAGTGGTTTTATTATTATTTATTATTAAGGCTTTCGTCGCGCTTGGAACAACCGTGTGCAAGTACGCCATCCAAACTTGTGCATCTTTATAAGGCATTTGAAGGATCTTCAGGCTCAAACCAATCAAGGCATCCGTTCTATGGATAATGGTGGGCAACCCATGCACACAACGACGTCACTGCTGGCAACGATCGATTAGAAAATCAACTTCAGAGATTGAAGACTGACTACATTAACTCATTAAGTCTCATTGCTCCCCCATGCGCCATGGAATTGGGAACAGGGTAAGTCTCATTGCACCCTTATGCACCAAAACCTGTGACAACCGCAAAGTGTCACAAGATAGGACTTTGCAGCAAGTTTTAAGGATGAAAAAGAAGATGTTTTTAAAGAGTTTTACATATAAAATATATTGTAAAACATAAGGGAGTGTGCATATGTTTCAAGTCAAGTTCTTGTCCAAATCAAGTCGTGCGATTTTCAGCCAGAAAAACAGCAATTTCTTTCAATCTAACGGAAAAATGAAGTGGGAAATCGCAAGAAACATGAACACTAAATCCAAGTGAGTAGTTACGATTTTTTTGAGCGTGTTTTTGAATGAAACTACCTGGCATGTTTTCATGAAATACGATATAGCATTAAAGCAAGTTCAATCTGGTTTAAAACTAAGTTTTTAGAAGACCTTTTCGTGCATTTTATGGCATGATTTCGACTGTTTCCGTGACCCTACTGTTGGTCGTTTTGCTCAAATTGTTATTTTATCCGAAGTACTTTTAGAAGACAGTAGGTTCAACTTGTCATGTGCGTATATACATTTTTGGCAAGAAAAATTTCGAGTAAAACCGCATTAAAACTAAGTAGAATACTCTACAATGAATACTATATCTGTTTCTATAAACTTTGTCTCAAAACGAGCTCTCATTTCAGAGATAATGTGGCTTAAAATCAGTGTATTGAATTATGCCGTTACTTGGCGTGTGCGAATTCTGAACCTTCATGACAGGGATTTGAAAAGCTTCTAAAATACACTTTATCGCTTCATATTTCCCCATAAAATTTTTAAATCAATAAAGCACATCATAAAACTAATGTACGCTCATTTTCTAAGAAGTACTCATCGATTACCTGAAGGAAAAGTTTAAAATAGGTCAGGAGAGCAGTTTACAAAATGCCGTTCTCCTCTGAAATGGCTTCTTTTGCGGGAAGCCATTAAATTTATGTACTTTCCAAAGTTGTAATTTAGTCGCTTTTTTGGTCTCATTGTTCACTGATTTATCATGGAATTACTTCGCTTGAGCTCTTTTAATAATATCTGCAAGATACTTTGCTATTTGGTGAAATAAAAGCTATATTTTTAGTAGTTTATCTTTTGAAAACTGCATGCACAACAAAGTGTCACCAATGTGTTTACTCTCGTCTGACAAACAACCAAAGATGAAATACTTTATTTCACTTTTTTATAGCGATCTAAAATGCCTAAATATTAGATTATTCATTTTATTTGAGCATACATATTATATTTTTATACAATTGGTCCTTGAAAAGGACTTATTTCAAGCTAGAGTCAGATTTCAAACTAGAGTCAGATTTCAAAAGAAACCGCCTGTCTGACATTTTACAGCAACCTACATTGGCGCGCACGACATTTTAGCCACAAATCCGTTGTTTTCTCAACAGAAACAAAAGGAATTTCAGTTAAAATTCTTACCTGATGAATATTCAAAAGTGTTTATCTCTTTTTGACGACTTTCAGTGCTCTTAATAGCGAAATAAAAAGCCTTTTGTTTTGTCACCGCACGCTGCGTTTGAAAATGCCGGCTGTCAAAGTCAGAATTGAAAACACCTCAAATATTTTAAAATTTTCTCACCTTTTTCATCCCTTTGTTTATATTTTAATTAGTAATTTTTGTACTTCGTGTTTTTCCAAACATATTTGAGCTATTTAAAAACTTCAAAGAGGTACAAACACTGTATTTTTGGGTTACAGAGTTTTTGGACTTGAACAACAAGTTCTGAAGTTCAAGTTCTCCATTGTAAACTAGATGTCCTGAGTGTGCCTGAGCTATGCCCAAGCAAATTTTTATAGCGTTTCATTATTTTGTAATTTATACCCTACAAGATGAAAACTAATTGGAATATAAATGTGTACCAATCCAGGAATCAAAAAATATTTCTCCATTTATGTTGGGTTATTGAATTATTGCCCTTCAGATGTTGGGTGTCATGAAGAAGCAAAATGTCAGAGACTTAAATTTACACAAACCAAGAATTCTCACCCAAAAATCTAATGATATATTTAAGTGTGGGAGCTCATTTAAAATAGAATTGATTAATCATTTATCATTTTAACCCACTGCCAAATTTCAAGGTTTTTTATAACATTGATCTTGAGATATGGGTATTTTTGTAAAAGCAGTTGACAGAAGTTGACAGTAACTAAAATTCGCCATTTTCCTTGCAACTTGGGGAGTGCCAATGTTGCAACAGTCTGCAACTTAATGAGTTAATGGAGTCAGAGGTGTTCAGCATTATTGGAATGCAGTATCGCATCTAGTAACTACATTTTAGAGGAATTCGAGGTAGATCATATCTAACATACAGTACCATGACGTCATACTTGAATATAAAATGTCCATTATTACATTACCTTTTTTTGCTTTAAGGTGGCTGCATACAGTTTCTTGAAAAGTGGAAAAGACACATTTCCGACCAAAAAATTTTCTACATTGATATTTTTATTGAAGAATGAAACCAGATGTCATGTATATAGAACAGTATTTTGAGAATCAGAAACTGTAACGGAAAAGTCCGTAATTATGGTTACCATGGCAACAATGGCATTTCAAAAATGGCTGCTAATTTGCATTTAAACTAGTTTAATTCGAAGACAACAATGGTGACCCCAATTTTTATTTTATTAAAAGTTTTTCCTAGTATGAGCAATAATTAGGACAATTTTTAAAAATTCTGTAGATCCAAAATTTTTCAAATCGAAAAAGCGTGTTTATTCCTGACAATCGTAGATCTAAAGAACTTTTAAAAATTGTCCTATTGATTGCTCATTCTAGGAAAAACTTTTATAAAATAAAAATTGGGGGTCACCAGCATTGTTTTCGAATTAAACTACTTCAAATGCAAATTAGCAGGCATTTTAAAGCGTCATAGTAACCGCAGTTACAGACTTTTCCGTTACAGTTTCTGATTCTCAAAATACTGTTCTCTACACGACATCTTGTTTCAGTCTTCCATAATTCCTATAAAAATATCAATGTACAAAATTTTTTGGTCTGAAATGTGTCTTCTCCACCTTTCAAGAAATTGTATGGAGCCACCTTAAAATATTTTTTGAGGTAAAAGGGACCTCAAAAAGTGTCTATATTTATACTAATTCTTTGGTTCAGATTTAGGGTATTGGTTTAGGAAATTCAGCCCACAGTAATCGCATTTCAGTTGTGATAAGTGT